GGTGTATATCATGTAGTGTTTCGCCTACCTTTTCTTCTAGATATTTTATAGTTTCGTGTCTTAAGTCTAGTTCTTCAGTCCATTTTGAGTTGATTTTTGTGCATGATGTGAAGTAGTAATCTAGCTTTATTTTTTTGTACGTAGCAGCCCAGTTTTCCCAGCACCGTTTGTTGAACAAACTTCCTTTGTTCCATTGCATATTCTTTGCTCCTTTGTCAAAGATTAGCAGTCCATAAACCTGTGGCTTTATATCTGGGTTTTCTATTTGAGATAACCCAGTTTTTAAAATAAGCAAAAGATTACACCTGGCATTTCACAAAAAATAAGGTCAATCCAAATGGTCAATAAGCAAATGAAAAAGTACTTAATACCCTTACTCATTAGGAAAATGTAAATTAAGGCCACAATTAAATATTCCTGGCCTAGCACCAGGATGGCTAATATTACAAACACTGGCGTCATCTGGAAAGTAGAACAATTGGAACTCCGCTAGTGGATGTGCAAAGTAGTTGGAAAGTTGGCAGTTTTTATTAAAGAGATTGCAAATTAAGGCCACAATGAGATACAGTTTTATATTCATGATACAGATATCTGGTAGCATCAGCATTGTAAGGTTATGAACCATTGGGTCTCTTATTTAAATACTGCCAGTAGGAATGTAAACTGGTACACAACCATTTCAGCAAATTGCCATTGTCTTACAAAGATACTGGTGAGTTTATAATCAGGAATTTCACTGCTTCTGAAACCCAGCACATGAAGGAAGTCATACTACTATAAATTCACCAAAGATATGTAAAATTTGTGATAGTGGTTTTAAAAAATATATGTAAGTAGCAAAACAGCAACCCAGAGAAAAAGCAAATATTTATTGATGGAGAAATGGATACATAAATTATACTATATTCATAGAATGGAATACCATATAGTAGTGAATGAGTAGCCACATGGAATAAGAGTTTATTTTAGAGGCATAATGTTGGGTATTAAAAGCAAGACACCCCCACGGTGATTACAACTGAGATGGGAAAAGGCACAAAATGATTTAAAAATAAACTATTATATTAAAAAAAAAAAGCAAGACATGTAAGATTAAACAATGCACAATACCATTTTTATAAGGCTCAGAAACAAGTCAACTAGAACAGTTTGGGAGTACATATTGAGGAGAGGAGCTCCAGCAACTGGGAAGTGGCAGGCCAGCTGGTGGAAGTGGGGGGGTAGGAGGTCTGGAACAGGGCTGCAGATGTTCTAGTGTTTATGTTCAGTGGTAAGTTCTTGGTGCTGGTTATTAAGTATTATTCCTCATAGCTTAACATGTGTTACAGATAACCACTTTGCACTATCCAATTACATAAAATTTTAAGCAAAAGTGAGAACTATATTTATCTCCTAGAAGTGGTATTTAAAAGTAAGCGTTCTTTGAAAACCTCTCTTAAAGCAATTTCTTTTAAAAATGAAATTAACCCTGCAAAGGGGTCAGAAGACAGTGGGATTCAAGTTTAAAACTGAGGCCGGTTTTCATTCAGGAAGAAGTACAGACTGGTAGGAACAATAGTTATTTAACTTTTTTTTTTTTTTTAAAGATTTATTTATTTATGTATACAGAACTGGGGTACAGGCCAGAGACTCAGGGCGGTGAGAGGCTTCACCAGAGACAGATTGGGGAGCAGAACAGGCAGATCGACGAAGTACACTGCTGAGGGGAGCAGCGGGCTGGTCAGGAGTGGTCTGCCACGCCATGTGGTCACCTCCGGGGCAGGCGGGAATCGAACTCATGCGGAAGTGGCTTTAGCTTCTCAGTGCAGTGCTTTAACCCGCTGCGCCACCAGGGAGGGCCTAGTTATTTAACTTTTGGGAGGAGAATTATTGAATAACTGCTTGGAATTGTAAAAGCTATTAATCCTCTTCCTAGGACACATATATGCTCAACATTTCAGTTAATTCTGGAGAATCATTGTGATTCTAATAAGAAGATAAAGAAGCTACTTTGTTAAATATCTTGTAAGTTAATACACGTCATAAAAAGTGATTAGTATATGGGGATGTAATTTTAGTCCTTTTGGTTCTGTGTGTGAGGACACAGTAAAATCTTGGCAAATGGTTAAGATCCTTTCAGGCTTTAAGTTTTTTATTTGGCCAACTTACAAGGCTCAAAGTGACCCACTTTAGCCTGGGTCAAAACAACCAGGACATGGAGAAAAATAATTGTTTTTTTTTTCTTTGCAGGAAGCTTTGTAAGGTGTCCCAGTCTGTCATGTCAAGGCAGTATTCCACATCTGATAATAGAAAAGCTATGATTAGAAATACAGGGTTTTTTTGTTTTGCTTTTTTAAATATCTAAGTTGCAGAATGCATTGTTGAATACTCTTAACAATTTTCTCACTGGAACAAATGACATAGTTGTCATTTGTTTACAGATACTTGATTATGTGAAGTGCAGTATCTTTTCTTTACCTGGCGTTTGGCAGCTGTTAACTAGTGAAATGAGAGATTACTGTCTGTGTAACTAGAAATGTACACTGGATCTTTTCAGACAAAACTGTGTTGCTTTCTGTATAAAGTATTAAACTGGCCACATGGCAAGATATATATACTATGCTGTTGGGGGACTTAAATTTTCACAATGAAGAATGCAGTACATCTTTTTTTTTTTAAGTCCAAGAAAACAGTGACATTTTCAAGGTGAAAATTGCCAGAGTAATAGGGCAACTGAGTTGTTTACTGATCATATAACGATATAACTGATTAAAGAATACTTTACAAAATTGGTATTTTAAAGTTCTTTATTTTCATTTTTAAAAAACATTTTTCGTTTTGTGCATTTTTTCATCGCAATTGTAATCTCTGTGGACTTCGCATCACCAGTTCACCCATGTGCCATCCTCATTGTCTAATGTGCTCTTCCCACCCTAGTTTCGGTCCTATTCCCCTATCCACCCCTGTAAAATATCTCTGGTTTATAGTTGTTAGTTTTTTTGTTTCTACTTTATTACAATTGCTTTTTTTTTTTAAACTGATCCCTTATGCTTCTACTATGAGTGAAACCATCCGGTGTTTTTCTTTTTCTTTCTGGCTTATTTCACTCAGCATGATCCCTTCCAGTTCTACACATGTTGTTGCTGCAAAAGGCATGAGTTTTCTCTTTTAGATTGCTGAGTAATATTCCATTGTTTATATGACCCACATCTTCTTAATACAGTCATCTCTTTGGGGGCATTGGGTTGAGTCCATATGTTCCTTATTGTAAGTAGAGCAGCAATAATCATTGTGGTGTATGTGTCCTTTTGAGTCAATATTTTTGTCTCCTTTGGGTAAAACAGTTATAATGTGACTTACTAATAAGGAAATCATCAACTTTACTTTCATTTAGCTGATAATCTTTTTTTTTTCCACTGACCATTACATTTTTATAGTTTGCCTATTACATTAATCTCCTCTCCCCCACCTCCCGACCCTTGCATTGGGTAGGGAGGGAAAATATTTCTCAACTTTGGACTGTCCCCTTATTTTCAATTTCCACATGCTCACTTAGGTAAGGTTTTTGTTAACTATTGCTGACAGTGTCCTTGAGGGAATAGGCAGTATGGCATAGAAGCTAAGAGTGTGGCCCCTAGCACCAGACCATTTGGTGAGTATCCACTCAGCAGATTACTAGGTATATGACTTTGGCAACCTACTTGACATTTTTCTTTCTTGATTTTCAATAAAAAGGGTTCAGTGCCTTAGTACTAAGTAAAAGCTAAGCAAATATAACTATAGTGACCATAGAAATTATTATGAAGTTAATCCATTTAGATAGCTTAACATTTTAACACTTGTATGTGTTCAGTTCATTCATTTGCAGCATAAAACAAGTTGACTCTCAGTCTCCCATCTGCAGTCAGAATGTCAGCTATTTCATAGCTCACATCCTTTAATAAGTTCAAGTCATTGACAAAGCAATTGTTAATCACTTTAATGTATTTGTGTGCATATGCAAAGCAATTCAAATAATATATGAAGTCTAATTCCTGCACTCAAATGTTATATAGTTAACAGAATTAGGAGAATAGAGAGGAAATTTGCTCTTTCAGGGCCGCCATTAGTTGGAAGTTATGATAGTGGAAGAAGAAAGTTCAAACTGGTTTAGATACAGGTGAACAGTTTAGACATTTGAGGGAAGCTAAAGAGAAATAATCTGAACTGTGTGTCATACCTTGGTGGCTGTTACTTGTTTCCATACAGGGATCTCTCATGTTAGGTGTGCAACCTACATTTATTCTGCATGCAGGTAGTACAGGCTTCTGTAGTGTATTGCTTGTTGAAAACTCTATATAGGCACAGCACTAAGAAGCTTAAAGCCACTTCAGCATGAGTTCGATCCCCGCACCAGGAGGTAACCACATGGCGCAGCAGACCTCTCCTGACCCGCACACTGCTCCCCTCAGCAGTGTGCTTCGTTGACCTGCCTGTTCTGCTCCCCACTCTGTCTCTGGTGAAGCCTCTCACTGCCCCTGCACCTCTGGCCTGTACCCCAGTTCTGTATGCATAAATAAATCTTAAAAAAAAAAAGCTGTATATAGCACACAAATACTAGTAAGCTTATTGCTTCTATAGAAGCATAAAATATGAACATCGTTAGCATGGAGATGGAAGAGGTCAGGTCCAATGGAAAAGAATTGGAAAACATTTTGTGGGAGGACACTGGAGCTGGGGTTTCAGGTAATGTCTGAAGTCTTGGAGCTTTCATGGTATGTATACCCAATGCGGGGTTGACGTGTCAGTGTGAGCAGAGGGAAGGCTGTATGTGCCATACTCATGAGACTGTATATTAATTTGACAGGACATTAACATGGGTTCGACTCCTATATGGAAATGATTGGCTGCTATTGTATCTTGTGGGATTTAAATACTTTTAATTTAAATAAGTAATGGGGACTCATGGAAAATAGTTCATGTGGAGGATGGTGGTAGTGGTGAGAGACTAATACAGCTGGATTATTTACTAACTGCATTTGTATATTTACTGAATTCATGCCTTCTCTCTTTCAGGAAGTTCATGATTTATTACAGGACTATGAGTTAAAGTATTGTTATGTGGACAAAAATAAACGAACAGGTAAGAGTTCAGTTCTCAACATCTGACTTCATTTTGATCCTTCATATAATTATTATAAAACAACAAAGCTTAGTATATTCATACTTAAGCAGACCTCTGAAATTCTTAAGTCATAGATAGAAAAGTTACTAAAATTTTGTCAAGTAATGCTGTATCTTAAATTTTTTTTTTTTTAAAGATTTATTTATTTGTACATACAGAACTGGGGTACAGGCCAGAGACTCAGGGGCAGTGAGAGACTTCACCAGAGACAGAGTGGGGAACAGAACAGGCAGATCGAGGAAGTACACTGCTGAGGGGAGCAGCGGGCGGGTCAGGAGAGGTCTGCCACGCCATGTGGTCTCCTCCGGGGCAGGCAGGGATCGAACTCATGCGGAAGTGGCTTTAGCTTCTCAGTGCAGTGCTTTAACCCGCTGTGCCACCAGGGAGGGCCTGTATCTTAAATTTTAATCCAGTAAATTACTATAGTGCTACTGGAGCCTTATGAATTTTTATAGTTATAATGAATATTCTGATATTATGAATGTTCCTATGGTCTTGGTATTCTTCCATTTTAATAATGTATACTGCTATGTGATTCGACTGTTAGCTGGGAAAATGACTCACTTTTGCTGCATAGTAGATTTATATCTGTGATATCAGATATAATGCATTTTGCTATTTTAATAATAATTTTAATAATGCATATTGCTATGTTATTCGACTGTTAGCTGGGAAAATTGCTCACTTTTGCTGCTTATTAGTTTTATATCTGTGATATCAGAAAACCAAACTAGATTATTTCCTTTGTGAACATGTGCTGTGTAAATGTCAAGAAACATTGTTTTGAGATGATAAAAAATTTGAGAAAAATATGGAAGGCAATATAACCACAATGTACATAGACACCAACTCCCAAACCAGAAATTTTTTGGGGAAATTTATGACCTTGGAAGGAAATGGGAAAACAGAGAATCACTGACATCTTTTCCCTACTAACTGAACAAATTTATTGCATTATGTTTTCTAACTTCTCTTATAAAACATCTTGCATGCACATATGTATACCAGGTCACAGACTTAAAATGTATTTCTTACTGTGGGTCAGTCAAAGTTTGAAACCTAGCCTAGAAAATTTTTTTTTTTTGTCTTCCAGCTTTTGTTACCTTATTAAATGGGCAACAAGCCCAGAATGCAATTCAAATGTTTCATCAATATTCTTTTCGTGGAAAAGACTTAGTAGTCCAACTCCAGCCAACAGATGCTTTGTTGTGTATTACCAACTTGCCTACTTCTTTTACATTAGAAGAGTTTGAAGAACTTGTCCGTGCTTATGGAAACATCGAGCGATGTTTCCTGGTCTACAGTGAAGTTACTGGTCATTCCAAAGGCTATGGATTTGTGGAATACATGAAAAAGGACTTCGCTGCGAAGGCTAGGTTGGAGCTATTGGGTAAACAGTTGGGAACATCAGCTCTCTTTGCACAGTGGATGGATGTTAATCTACTGGCTGCGGAGCTCATTCATTCTAAGTGCCTTTGTATAGATAAACTTCCTAGTGACTACAGGGATTCAGAGGAGCTGCTGCAGTTTTTTTCCAGTATCCATAAGCCTGTGTTTTGCCAGGTATGTATTTTCTTAAGATATCATTTGAATATCTAAAACTATCTGTATATGTATCTGTTTGACTTGTATTTACATATTTATTATACTGTTGTGAACATCACAATGACTAATTCTACTTCAGTCTGTAATGAAGATTAATGGCATGATAAATGTAGAGTTTCTCTTGTTGCTGGGCCAGACTATGTTACATAGTTAAGTGTATATTAGCAAATCCATCACTTGTTTATTCTTATTTCATCAGTTCATTGAACCCTTACCCATTGATTTATTCATCTATCCAAGTTTTATCTACCACCTTCTCTATGCCAGACGCTAAAATTGGTAAATGTCAGAAATGTAGAAAACAGAACGATACTCTCACCTCCTGACAGTTGTGCAAATGAAACTGACAAGTAAACCATTAACTATAAATCCTGTATGATGAATGATATACTAGAAGATAGAAAGGTATCTTGACATTTTAAAAGAATGTGTAATTCTATCTTTTTTTAAAGATTTTATTTATGTATACAGAACTGGGGTACAGGTCAGAAGTGCAGGGACAGCAAGAGGATTCACCAGAGACAGAATAGGGAGCAGAACAGGCTGACTGACAAAGTACATTACTGAGGGGAGCAGCGGGCAAGACAGGAAAGATCTGCTGCACCGTGTGGGTCACTTCCAGGAAAGGGATTGAACTCGCACTGAAGTGGCCACATCTTGGCTTAGCTTCACAGTGCAGTCCTCTAAACTGCTCTGCCACTAGGGAAATCCCAGAATGTGCCATTCTATCTTAATGGGGACATGATGAGACATATAGAGAAGATACTGAAAACTGACAGTGCTGCTAAGAATTTTCAAGCACGTCATCATAGTAAAATTATATTCTAAGCAGACAAAAATATATACTGTGTATGATAACTCTTTGCCTTACAGGTTTTTAGTAGCAAATGATAGACCCGTTTCCCTTGATTTCTTCCTTTTTTCTCCACTTCTTCCATGCTCCTCTTAACCCCTCATTTTTCCTTCCCCCTCCCCATTTTTCTTCTGTCATCCAGTTGCTGACTCTTTACTATCACCTTAAAAATTTGGAGTATAAACTACTTATATTTAATATCAATGCTGCCAACTCATTTTTTCATACATTTCTGTTGTTCCAGTCTCAATGTAATAAGCACCAAAGAAACCATTCAATAATTTTATGAACAGAACATTTTCTGACAATTCTTTTTACCAGATATTTGCTCATTTACTGAAAATTGATTATCTTATGAGTCTACTGTTTTCACATAATAAGAATTGCAGCACTTGTGACCATATAGAATTCTTTGTACCTAGAATACAGGCCTTTGAAGCAAATGTCTGAAGAAAAGCCATTTATCACAAATTGTATTTGAATTGTGAATTGCAGAGTTGGAGGGGACTTGAGAGATTATCAAGCCCAGCTTTCTATGTGGTAGGAAAAAGTTTGTTACATTGTTTGTGAGATGACCATTCATCTCTGTTAAAATATCTCAAAATTGGCATCCTTCCTGTGGTGGCACAGGGGTTAAGCACAGTGAAGCTCCATTGCAGCGCAAATTTGACCCCTGGCCAGGAAGGTGACCCACATGGCACAGCAGAGCTTTCCTGTCTTCACCCACTGCTCCCCTCAGCAGTATATTTCAGACTGCCTGCCTCTTCTGTTCCCCATTCTGTGTCTAGTGAATCCTCTCACCCTTCCCACCTTCCCCCTCGCACCTCTGACCTGCACCCCAGCTCTTGTATGCATAAATAAATCAATCTTTAGAAAACGAAAATATCTCAAAATGACAGAAAATTCACTAGATTCAAAGTCATGCCATTACATATTTGAATAACTTTTCACATTGGATTGTTTTTTTAAGTCAACTTAAAATAATTTTGTCATGTGGCCCTCCCTGGTGGCGCAGCGGGTTAAAGCACAGCACAAAGAAGCTTAAGCCACTTCCACATGAGTTCGATCCCCGC